TTTAACTTCTAATACTGGTTAATCACCCTTATACACTCTTGTATCACTTAAGACCAATAGGATTGACTTCTTATCATCTCAAAGATAATTCCTTCTTGGATTTATGTTAACTAATATATGGCATGAACTAACACATGTGGATATGGGTTGTAACACCAAATCAAGATTCAGAGACCGCAATGCTTAATAGTTAGGTACATAGAACTCTCTTCTTTGTATGTTATTTTTACCAAATTGTCTACAGAAGTAGAAGTTCTTTTTATTACCTTGTCAGCCAATATGGTTAATGTAAGAGTGATCATGTGTTCGTGGTAAATTTAATTTGAATAGGAATGAAATCAATCCATACTTTTTTACCCAAAAAATTCTAAGTAGATATAATTCTCATTCAACTCAAAATTCGATTAATTCTAAGTAAAGTTTAAAATTTACGATTTTATCCAATTTTGAACTATTTATTGATCAATGTTTTAAGGCTATTTTGGTAAACCAATATTTTATAATAATATAAATATAAATAAGCTTAATATCCATGTCATTAATATATGTTGATATAATTAAGGGTGAAATGAGAAGGTTAAAATTAAAGAGCGGCAAACAGAAAAGTGTCCATAATCTTGGAATGGATTAAAAAAGTAGTGTCATATGGAAAAAAATTGAGGAAGTTTATCATTTTTTGGAAGAAAAATCAGGATTAGAATTAACGTTTATTCCAAACGTACAACGGGCTTTTTTAACCTTTTCTATGATATCTTACGAATCAAACTCGAGCCACATCTGAAAGCTTTTTGCCCACAATTCACAAATATATTAACATCATACAATCGAGGTTCAAAACGGCCAAATTAATGATCGGTGGTCCGTGTATTTTGGTAATTTTACTATATATTTTAATGAGTAAAGTTCAGTTGTATTAATGTGAGCTTTATAATTATATTTGAGCTTTACATTGGTAAAGTTCAATGACCATAAGTGGAACTAACCGAATTTTACGTCCGCTTGTTAAAAAATTGGACTGTTTTTAATTGGATCGGGGAAGAACACTCGCAGGCATCTTGAGTAAGTGCCAGTTAAACAGAAGGGTCAGGTGGTTCTAAAGAGGATCTATCGAAGTATTCTCGATGTTTAGTTTGACTCGTCGTATATTTGTGCATTCGGTTCAAACTGTTCAATTCACCTAAACTCCTCGGGTAGTACCAACTTACTAATAGTATTTATTTATCAAACACTAATGTTGGCATCCATTGTATGGTAAACAGAAGAAAAAAAAATGATAATAACTTCTTGAAGGTGGTAAACTAATTTTTACGTTACAGTATAGAAGCAAAATTAAGGAACTACAAGGATGTTCATAGTAAGTACTACTATCACTCAAGTGACAGTATAGCCTTATTAAATTGAGAGATTTTTAGCAAGAAATATCTTTGCCTTCACTAGCTCAACTCATTTCACTACTGAGCAAAATTATAGGAAATTATTGAATATATAGCTGATATGCATTAAATTCCTCATCAAGACTTAGCTTATTGAACTTGAGAGCCACTTTTCTTCCTTGAAAAAATCCCCCCTATATATGGGATAAGGGATTTCTTTTTCTTCTTCTTGAGGGAGGGATGCCTCTGCAATATAACATGATCATCACCTAATTTTGGAATATTAACAACATGGCTTAATATAGGAGGATTTTCAAAAGTCACATATCTTTTCTTTTGAAATTCAATATTTTCGGATGCCATATTAATTTCTAGTTTCGTCGTCATGTCCTCAACAAACTTGAGATCTTCAATCTCTGATTGTAATTTCTCAGATTGTTGCTTAATATTCTTTAGATTTTCGAGCTCTTTCGTTGTTCTTTCGAGTTCTTCTTCTAAAGAAGAGAGACAAGTAGCCATGAATAAGCTTTCTTCTCGTGCTTTTTGCAGCCTTTGCTTTGTCTCTTCTAGTTCAGCAGTTACAATTCCTAGCTTACAGGGGACGTTGTCACTTTCACTCTCTCCATCTTGCATCTGTTCACACAAAAAAAAGAGAAAAGTTCACTGTATAAATATACTTGTTACTATTTTTTTAGTACTCTTTAATGGATTCCTCGAAATCTTTTTAATTACACTCTGGTTGTTTCTTAATTAATCTTGTACTCCAATACTCTACTACGTACTATTAAATTCTTTTATAAGTCAGACGTCTAATATTGCTATTACAAGTTCTTTCTCTATTATGTCATCCCTTTATTCCCTAACACAAGAAAGAAATACTTGTATTACTGCCTAAGTAATTAAAGCTTTTTTTTAAAGGAAAAAATTAATTTCTTTTCCAAAGCACATACACAATATTCGTAAGTTGACATGATGGCTTACAACATAAACTCCATCACCTGTCCACCTTTATGTGACACGGAATATATGTGAGGGTCAAACTATCTCAGTGTGAATTCAAATATAAAATTTTAAAGTTTTGAAATAAAATTTATATATTTAAAAATTACATAAAAACTACTTGTCAAATAAATCACAATGATTAAAAATTCAAAATATTTAAAAGTCATATGCAGAAATTGTGATAAAAGAAAAACTACTTTAACTCTCCAAATAAAGTAATTGTGTCACATAAAGTGGGACCTGGGACCAAGGGAGTACTAAGCAACAGCAAAAGTTTGTCTTTTGAAACCATATGAGATCAGTTTAATAGAAGCATCCTGGCTAATCAGAAAACATGGAATTATATTGATGCACTTTCGTTTTGGGTAAACCGTAAAAGATGTCACTGATTAAAATCATGTTAGTATGTCATTCCTATTCTTCTTCTCTGAGTATTAATTAAGGATCCTTTGAGATTGATTCAAATTGGACATATAAATTTTCATTTTATGACAATATAACCAAATAATAATTGAAACCCAAATATTCGTTCACCTGATCTTTTAAACTAAAAATAGCCGACAGATGTATAATATATGTATAACTCGTTTAACATATGTATAACTGTGTATAATTAATGTAAAATCTATATATAATGGTTAGAAAAAGTAAATATTGAATGTGGCCGGTTATTTGGGTGCAAAATATTAAAATGGGAGAAGATAAAGGACCTGTTTGAGTTTGTTAGGAGAATAGAGTTCTCCAGCAAGAACTCTTTCGCCAAACAACGTGACAGCTTCCTTCACTGAACGAAAAGGTGCACTTGTGTCTATCTCTGCCTTTGATCTCATCATCTTCACATCACCTTCACAATATCCTACTTCCATTTTGTTCATTATAGGAAATAATATGGCTATATATATCTCACACGATATGAATATATAGCTTTTACTAGTTTCAAGACTGTTAATGTTTGGTAGTTCGTATGTAAAGTAGTAATGGAGTAATGCGTTTGCTGAGGTAGAGATTTAAAAGAGGGAGCAGCTAGAGAGAGTATGGCAACAAGTGGAGCTTCTTTTCTTTGCGTCCACTTCACTTGATTTATTCTCTTATACACCCTTTTTTTTTCTTCTTTGTTTCCTTCTTTTCTTGAGGTTCCTTCCATATAATGTAAAATACTAAATGCATTTAACTTTTGGGAAGCTTCTTTCTGTTATTTTTTCCGGGATTTAATTGGGTATTAAGGTATATAAATTAAGGTAAAAACTTACCGGAATTTATACTAAACTTACGGATTTACCATGGCTATATTATAAATTAGGATGAGAGTGTAATTAATTAACAATGACTTAGTGATAAGAATGGTAAAAATATGTATCATGTATTTATTTATTTGATATAAATATTGGGTGCCAATAAGTTTTTACCCGTAAACTAGCATAATTGACTAGAGATGCAGAATAATGATTCGAGTATTCAAAGATTAAAGTATTAATGGTTTTACATGTTAGTCTCAAATACATGAAACAAAGTGAGTTTAAGATAATTGTAAGGAAAAAAATAAATTAAGCCCATCAATTGAAATTATTTTTCAATGGTCAGAATGCGGGGATTATCCGTATACGATAGAAATCGGGTCTACCCGATTTCGTGGGCTCGAGGGTCATTTTAAGAGCGAGATCGAAATAGACCAGGAGCGGGCCCGATGGGAGGCTTCGAAGATCAAAGTGTCCGATGAATATCGAGGCCGAACGTGACCGGCCTCGAAATAATGTCGTTGTGGTTTTGTAAAAGAAAGAGCAAGATTCACACCACGTCTCCAAGATCATGGCGTAAATTCCGGGATAGATTTGTACGAATTAGTACTAATCCGTACTAGGCGGTTAGACAGTTGTCCTAATAAGATTCCTTACTGTAAATAGAAATGTATCTTATTTAGGGTTCCCCTACTATATATAGAGGACCCTAATCATTTGTAAAGATCATCTAATCATTGGCAAAGAATATACTATCCTACTTTTCTCTCTTATTGTTCATCACAATTGTCTTTTACATTTATTGTTCTTACTTTATTGTTCTTAGTTCATCTCGAGGTCACTAAGCTCGAGGTCGCCACTGCTGAGTAACATTGGTTTGATCCACTTATTTCTTTCATTTCTACTTCATATTTCTTGATTATTAATTGGTATTGAACTAAATCACATATCTTTAAAACAACAAAACAAATTTAATTGTTACTCGGTTTTTCGAGGTAAACAGTTTGGCGGCCACCGTGGGGCTAAAGATAATAGTGATTATTTCATTACTGATTCTTATAACACACGTTATTTTACACTTTTTCTTGTCAAGAATTTTTTGATTCTCAAGATTAAACATGTCAAACTGGCAAAATGCACCTGTTCATGACAACGAAAGTCTTGGATTTCATGGGGAAAACAACAATATAGGGGTCGGTGTACCACCGATAAACCCTGGGGAAGTGCCAAATGTGGAACCAGTTGATGTTAGTTCACACATTGCTTTGAATGCAGATTTAGGCGCAGACCCCGGAGGAAGTGTATGCAGGGAAGCCCGTTCTGGGGGCCAAGGAACAAAGGGTGTAAGAGATGGGGGAATCAGCCTCCAAGTAATATTCGAGATGCTACAAGCTCAACAAGTTGCAATTGCTCAACTTCAAAGTCAGAATAGAACTCCAAGTATAGTCGAACCAGAAAACACTTTACCTACTGAGTCGGTGCCAGGGAGATCAAACGGTAATGGCTCGGGGACTGATCCCCCACGATTATGAGGATGCTCGAGGACTCACCAAGAGGATCGAGTCCGGGGAGAAAAAGATTCGGGATAACGACAAAAAAGTGAAAACATACAACTCCCGGGTCGACCAAATACTAGGGGCACCACCGGTATTGGAAGGGCTAGATTCTAAAAAGTTCGTGCAAAGACCCTTCCCCCTAGTGCGGCTCTGAAGCCAATCCCCAAGAAGTTCCGTATGCCCGAGATTCCCAAGTATAATGGGACGACCGATCTGAATGAACACGTTACCTCGTATACGTGCGCCATCAAAGGAAACGACTTGGAAGATGACGAAATCGAATCTGTAGTGCTGAAGAAGTTTGGGGAGACTCTATCCAAGGGTGCCTTAATATGGTATCATAACTTACCCCCTAATTCTATTGAGTCGTTTGCTATGCTTGCAGATTCTTTTATAAAAGCACATGCTAGTGCCATTAAAATTGCAACGAGAAAGTCTAACCTTTTCAAGGTAGGGCAGAAAGATAACGAGATGCTCAGGGAATTCGTATCTCGGTTCCAAGCGGAGAGAATGGATTTGCCTCCTATCACCGATGACTGCGTTGTTCAAGATTTCACTCAAGGTCTCAACACTCGGAGTTCAATAGCTTCACAGCAGTTGAAGCAAAGTTTACTCGAGTACCCGACTGTCACTTGGGCTGACGTACATAATCGGTACCTGATGATAGGCTATAATTACGTATTTTAGTCGATTATTACACTCTAATTTACTGCACTTTAGTTGAGTTTGCACTTTAATCGCTAGTATTTTGCACTAATTGTGTGTTTTATGCCTTGTAGGTGTGATTCCGAGCTATATAGATGTTATGTAATGAATTTAAGTAGTTTGGAGCTTTGAAGTCTGAGTAATAGCTCAAGGAATTAATCCGGGATCGCGTTCGGGGATCAACGGATGATAAAACAACAAAACGAAAACTCGAAGAGGCATATTGTGCACTGTCTAGTAAAATAGACATAACATTTTACTCTAAACTCCATTTGAGATCCACAATATATGGTTGGAAATATAACTCCAAGGGCGACAACTTTCATGTTTTACGTTTTTCCAAATGCCAAACGAGACAGGGTCAAAAATCGCGACCGCGGCAGAACCGCGGCAGAGGGCAGTCGCGGACAATTGAAGAATCTGAGAGGGTGTTTGGCCGCGGTTCCGGCGCGACCGCGGTGGAACCGCGGTAGGATGCATAAATTTTAGGGACCAAAGTGCAAAATACGGGATTTTAAGCCCTAAACCCTATATTAAACCAAGGAAGCCG